TTTAACTTCATGCCATATGCCCGCAGGGTAGTGAGGGTCTCTCTTATATCATTGATGTGATCCACTGCTACTCTACTCTTGACCAGCATGTCATCAACGTATACCTCCATGTTTCTGCCGATCTGCCCCTCAAACATCCGATCGACTAAACGTTGGCACGTAGCACCTGCGTCCTTCAATCAGAATGGCATGACCACATAACAGTATGTTCCTTTTGAGGTAACGAAACTAACTCTCTTCTGGTCCTCTTCCGCTAGCGCAATCTGATGGTAGCTCTGTGACGCGTCCATCATGCTGAGTAGCTCATATCCTGCCGTTCAGTCCACCAGCTGATCGATTCGGGGTAGAGAAAAATGATCCTTAGAACAGGCTTTATTCAGGTCCCAAATGTGTATGCACATCCTCCATTTGTTCAACTCATTCTTCACCATGACTGTGTTTGATAACCATTCTAGGAACTGAATCGGTTTGACATGCCCTGCTTGCAACAACTTGTTTACTTCTTACTCGATAACTAGGTCCAACTCGTGTCCGAAGTGTCGACGCTTCTGCTTCACAGGCCTCATCTTCTTGTCAATGTTCAAGTGATGTACTGCCAGGTTTGGGCTGATGTCTGTGAGTTCCTCTGGGGTAAAGGCGAAGACGTCTACGAACTCCCTCAGCATTTGTACCATCTTCCCTCGTATCTCTCGTGAAAGATCCTTTCCGATGCGAGTGGTCTTTCCTTCTGCACACTCCACCAGTTCGATCTCCATCAACTCGTCTTGTGTGGTCATCTCTACCTTTGGTCGTTTCTCAGGTCGATCCTCCTTCTTGTCAGATCGATCCTTGCCCTCATCCCTTCTTCCGTTACATTGTCCGTCTTTGAGTGTGACATGATAGCACCTCCTTGCAATTTTCTGATTGCCAACGACCTCTCCCACCTTGTCACCGACCAAGAATTTCATCTTCATGCAGTACATCGAGATGGCCGCCTGGAAAGTGTTGAGGCTCGGTCACCCCAGTATGACGTTATATGCTGAACTTGTCTCCACTACCAGAAAGGGGATCATCTTCACTTGTCTAAGGGGTGGTTCTCCCAATTCCACAGGCAGCGTCACTTCACCTTGAGGTATAACTTCTACACCACTAAAACCATATAAAGTTATGCGCACCGGCTGTAACGACAAGCCCAGTTCCATCTTATCTAGGCAGTGTGTAAAGATTATGTCTACCGCACTCCCCGTGTCCAAAAAGACCCATTCCACATCATAGTTTGATATATCCGCTGTGACCACCAATGCGTCATTATATGGCTTAGCGACGTCTCTGAGGTCCGAAGGTCCAAAGTGGATGAGCGGTATTTCCTCAGCAATTTGCACTTCTCCTTTTTGTCTGTCCTCGTCGAGAGATCATGCATAACGCTTCCTTGCTTGGTTGGAATCTCCATCCGTAGGTCCACCCGATATCTGTGGATCACTCCTTTTTTCTTGGGGGTCGGTCTCCTCGTCGCGTCCCCGCTTCTCCATCTCTCTTTTATCTCTCCCCTGGTCTTTGTCCTTCAAAAAGAATTCCTTCAAATGCCAAGCGCATATCAGTCTTTCTATTCATCTCTCAGCTCTTTGCAAGTGTCCGTTCTATGTCCATGATCCCTATGGTATCAACAATAAGCGTTTGGCAACCTGCTCAACGGCATCCCATTTCTTTTTGGGAGGGGTCGAGGTTGATCTAGCAACGATAGATTACCCTTTCTCTCTAGCACCTCGAAACCTGCTCTCTCGTCGCGGCCAATGGTGTGTACCGATCGAACCTTTGTCCTGGTTTCCAGTTTCTTTCCTCAACTTGCTTGCCCTCGCGTCCCCCTCGACGATCATCAACTCGGGGAGGTTTTCGTTCGTCTCTTCTTTCTTTCTCCTTCTTAGGCTCGCGCTGTATAAAGTCAGCCTGTGACTCTTCCATGTTGATGTATTTGTTACAGCGCCCTAGCAACTCGTCATAAGACTCAGCTGGTCGTTTGGCTAGCGAGTCTCTAAATGGACCCGGTTGTAACCCTCTCGTTAATCCTCCAGCTTTGATTTCTTCCGTAGCCCTCGGCACCTCGACGTACTCCCGCGTGTACCTGTCTACGTACGCTCTTAGTGGTTCATTTTCCCATTGCTGCATACTGATTAACAATAGATAAGTCTTTTCGTGTTTTCGAGCACTTGAGAGTTGGTTGACAAACATCGAGCTAAACCCTTTGAAATCCTTTATGCTTTCAGGTGCCAACTGATGGAACCAATCCTAGGCCGACCCTTTCAGCGTGGTTAACAGAGCTCGACAGCACATTGGATCGTTGTACTTATGCAACACCGCTATGTTCTCGAAGCTTCTCAGGTGTCTTGTGGGATCGGTCGAGCCATCATAGTATATTGCTAACTCGCGGAATCCAGTCAGGAGTTCAGCGTCGATTACGTCAGTTGTGAAAGGATGTCCATGGATCTTAGGCCCCGAACTCCTGCTCCCGACTTTCTCCTGCAGTTCATGCAGTTACGACGCCAACTGCTCTATCAACGGATCTCGGCTAACCGGAGAGATGGGGTCTTGCCTCGCTTGCAGTGTGGGCGCAGGTGAGTGAATGGATCGTTCTGCTTCAACCTCCCTTGACACTTCATGCTGCTCTGCGGCTCGAACATGTTGTTCCACAGGTCGAGTTGTCCCCCCTACTGGTGAAGAAGTGCGCTGCGCGACCGCCTCCACGATCATCCTCTCCAGCTCTGATCTAGTGATGTGCAACATCGGTTCGGGGGTGCTAGGTTGATTTTGAGGATTCACCGTCGGTCCCTCTCGTCCATCTGTTGCCGCCGATGATAGGTGTTCCAATCTCCATCATCACCTGACGTTTAGCTTCTGGAGCGGGCGTCCTAGGTGGTTCCTCGCCGGGAAGCCATCCCCGAGGCGGCCCGGCTCTCATTGGCCGAGTATGTAGCCATGAGGTATCTTCTCCTTCCTCTCCGCAAGGTGTGTCCTTGTCTCTCATTTTTACTTATCAAATGAATTTCTTTGTTGTGAGAGTACCACCAAGCCGCCGGTTGAGCTGGGGTCCCACAGACGGCACCAATTTGATAAGGTCTCGTGTGAGTGGCTCCGATCCAGAGCGGTTCTCGGTTCAAGGGTGTGACTTCCCTTTACGGTTTTCGGTCTGAAGTGAAGCTCGTGGATATCTGCAAAGTATGCCAGAGGTTTTCCGGCGTAAAACCCTACAAAGCTTAAGTCAGTATTTTGGAGAAGAAGATGAACAGTAATTGTATTTTGGTAGTTGAGTAATAAATGTAACTTGAATGTTTCTTACACTGTTTCTGTATATATAGGCGATTATCTTGTGACTGGTTCTCTTAAAAATATTACATTAATTCACGATAATTCATGAGGGTGGTCGAGCCTAAGAGCTCGATCCAACGAGGTGGGGATTGAGCCCGAATGCTTGATCACATGAGATCGAGGATCGAGCCCCAAGAGCTCGATCACTCCGCTGGATCGATTCTAGAGGTTGCAGCCTTTATCTCGGACGGTTAGATCTATGTGTATTTATATCCCTATCAGGTATTAACACAAATAATTTGTCTTTTCATTTAATACTAGTACGTACCCCGTGCGATGCACGGGAGAGAGATATTAAATAAATTATTTTCACAGGTTCTGTCCGTTTAAGTCTGAGAAGGGTTATTATCTATTTTTCATTTATTTTAATCACCGTTAAGTCTCTTTTAAGTCTGAAAATTATTATCATTTATTTTCCACCTCTTTTAATCACCGTTAAGTCTAAAAAAATAGGGTTGTAATCTATTTTTCACATTTTTTAATCAGCGTTGTTTTATTAGTCAGAACATTAAACGTGAGCATGTTAGGGCTAACTTGTAAAATAATTAATATATTATCTCACTAACACATTTATACTAATATAAATTTAATTTTATTATATATATTTATTCCTTGATATAAGAGAAAATAATAATTTTACTTATTCTTATTCACTATATAATAGTTAATTATTAAACTCTGTTGCCATATAATGTCATTATTATTTATAAAGTTATACTAGTTACACGTCTTCTTGTTCTTTTTATTTTATGTAATGACATATATTTAATGCACGTTGGTATTATTTATATAAGTAATCAATTTAAAATCTGTAAATAATTTAAAATTAAATAGTGTATAAATAATGTACAAAATCTACACATATATTTTTTTAGAATTTCATTTTGTATACTAATTAAACAACTTTGATTTAAGAAAAGCCATGAACTCAATCTCTTCTAATATCAATATTTTTCTAATTTGCATTGTAATGATTATTCTTATTATATATATAGATTAGAATTTTTGCGACACCAACCAAACTAAATATCACAACAACCAAGTAACAATTATGAAAAAACCCAAACACAACAACTATCAATTAAATTTGGTAATAGAAAAATTACATATGTATATATAAAAATATGAGGATTCTATATTTCTATTAGCTGATGTATACACCACGTTTATATTTTGTTAAGGTATATTTGAATGTTCAATTTCATAGCATGATAACGATCAGTCTTAAAAAATCGAAAATCTTATTGAAATGCCACATTTTTCTGTTAAAAAAAAGTTCCCATAAAAAATAATATATCATAGAAAATTCATTGTGTAATTGAACAAATTTCTATAATGAAGCCCAATTTTCTGTACAAAAATAAAGCAACAACTTCTACATTTTAAGAAAATCAATTAATGTTGGTCCGTTTTTGCTAAGAAAATAATAAATAAATAAATTATAATTAATGGAAAGTAATTAATGATGAGAGAATTTGACCATATCTGTTTTTAAATAAAACTATATAATACGGAAATAGTAATGACAATAAATACTGTTGACTTTTTTAGCTACTAAATTTGGTAAATAAGACTATTTTATATAAGTATATATTACAATTAATTATGTGCATTTCACAGGCTAAGGCACTAGTATATATAATAATCCATCTTTGTTGATGCTAGAAATAACTGGGGTTTCTGAAAAGACGGGTAAATGATGAAAATTAACTAAGGGTGTTCACTAATTATTGACAAAAAAATTCACCAGCCAGAATATGGAAAAAAATAAATGATTATTGACATTATCATACAGAACCTGCCAAGATGTTTGGCAGGTAGAATTCAATAGATAACATCATTGAGAAGAAGTCAGGAAAACGAGGACAAAGGTCGATTCACCATCATGGAATCATTTATGAGAAAGATATGCAAAATTTAGGATGTGATTGATATAGATTTGATATGGTTTTAATTGGTTTTTTTTGTTAATTATATATAGTTAATTTTGAAAAGAAATGATATAATTAGTTGTTAATAAGATTTTGTATTTATATAAAAATTATATATAAATAAATTAATTAAAATTGAATTGATTTAAAAGTATGATAGAGATAATTTGAAGTGATAATTAGTTAAAACTATGTGAGTCGTTGAATATGAATTAAAGTTGGTGTGATTTGTAAAAAGATTGATTTGTATTATTTAATTATATTAATAATATTGAGAATATTTGAGTTGAGTTACAGTTGAGTTAAAAAAAATGATCGAGTTAACATGATTTGTTTTATTGGATCCAATTCATATCCAATCACACCCTTAGGTGTTCAATATTCACAATTAATAAAAACTAGTACAATACCCGTATATTACACGGGTGTTGAATTAGAAAGTTTTTGTAAAAAATATTAAATTTTTTAAACTAAAATAATTAAATTTTATATAAAACATTACTTTTGGTTTTAATTAAATTGTCAAATTATATTTTTTGATCATTATAATTAAACACCCGCACATTAAATGAAAATGTCAACTCGTGTTAACTTTTTTTACTTATATTATATAAAAATATCGATATTATCTACTATTACATAAGTACAAAAATATATATCTTAAATAAATAGAAATAATATGGTGATAATGTGTATGCATAAGTGTAAAATATGTTTATTTAATATTATGCAAAATAGATTAATTTTCTTACTTAATTAAATGTCTAATACATCAAGTGTTGTATCCAGGGGCGGACGCAGACTTTAAGGACAACAAGGGCACAAACTACGGTCAAAGGTCAACGTTAGAGCTCAACGGTCAAATCAATATTTAATCAATTAAAAAAATAAAAAGATTAAATCTTGACCAGACACCATTTTTCTTATTTAATAGCTAGGGTTGAAGTTTCACATTCTCATATCAAGAATAGGGACACATGCATTTGATCCTTATAGTATACACAGTTATGTATAGTATTTGTTTTTTATAATATAATTTATAGTTTTATTTGATATAATTTAATTTAGTTTGATAAATAAATTTAATTTTATTTATAAGGATATATATTACTGTGTTGTATTTTATATATATAATATGGGTGTCTAATCAGAAATCGTTAAAAGATAGTTAATTTGATATATCATATATAGAAAAATAAAATACAAACAAAAAAGTTATAAAATCTTAAAATAAGAAGAAGAAACATTTATAAAAACCAATGAATGAATTATATAAGAAATTTTTTATTGGTATAGGATTTTTAACTCATGTAATTTTTGTGTTCAATATTGATAATTTCACACCGATTTTTGCAAAAATTAAGCAAAAATATATTATAATATTAAGGAAAAAAATCCTATTTACACAGCATATAAGATAGGAATCCTATTTATTTTGCAGTTGGAGGGGATCAGAAGGAATTTAAAGGTGTGTTGGATTCAGATCTAGATAATAGTAAAGAAATATCGAGAACTTGAGATGAAAAACTATCTGCATTAAAATACCAACAGGTTGGGGAACACTGAGAATGGACAACATATTTTTTATTTCTTAAATATAAATTGCCGCCAAGGCTAAGTTGAAAAAGTAAAAAATAGATAAAAATCTCAAATGTACACATGTTCTTATCTATATGAATTATTTTTACGGGAACAAAATGATGATATTATATTACGGGGTAAATTATCTTTATGATTCACGATTAACATATAGGAGAAGAATCCTATTTATTTTGGAGTTGGAGTTTTATTTTGGAGTTGGAGTGGATCGGATGAAGCAAAAATCCTATTTATGAAGTATTTTATAATATTATAATATTAAGTAAAAATGATAAGAATAAGAATCCTATTTATTTTGAAATTGGAGGGGATCGGATTAAACAAATATAATTGTATTAATTTTTATCTGAACCAAAAGTCGAAGCATGTAATATTGTCAAGTAAACTTCTGAAGCGTGCGAGCCAGCCATTTAGGCTCAGCACGTTTTGAGATTATATTAATAATAATAATAATAATAATAATAATAATAATAATAATAATAATAATAATAATAATATTAATAATAATAATATATAAAAAATAAATAAATAATAATAATAAATAATAATAATACCAATAATAATAACAATAATGATAAATAATAATAATAACGAAAATAACAATAATAATAATAATAATTAGTAGTAGTAGTAGTTTGGCAAATCATTTTTTTTTTTTCCAACGATATCAAATCTCCATTCAAAAACAATTAGCCGCCAAACGGCAAAAGTACACAAATGTCGACTCCAATAACCTGGGTAACTGAGAGGAAATCATACAAACTTCCTAAACATAACTAAATACATCACCAAATCAGCTCACCATAACAGCTATAACAAAGACTCTACAACAGATAACAACATTCACATAAAACAAATCCACAGCAACACCATAGCTACACAGCCGAAGGAATAACATAATAGACAAATCACTGACACGAGACCTAACCTATCTATTAAGTCTTCTTGGCTTCATTTGGTGTTGTGTTGGTTGAAGTCCATCCAGTCCTTCATAGCTGCTTTGATGATCCAAATCTCAGACTGCCAAATGCCTTCGAATACCCAAAGATTTCTAGCTCTCCATAACCACCATAAGATATAAGTGGAGAGCTGAATCCTTGCTTCAGATGTATCCTTAGAATCCATTGTACAAACCCACCACCACCATTGTTTCACAGTCATCCTTTCTGTCTGCACTCTATTCCAACTGACAGGGGACAGTTTCCACACCATTTTAGCCTTCTTGCATAGGAATAGAATGTGCTCTTGAGTCTCTTCCTCTTCCCCGCAGACCCTACAAATTGTCTCCAGCTCCATACCTCTGTGCAGCAAATTGCAGTAGACAGGTAAAATATTAGAAAAACACTGCCACACAAAATGCTTTACCTTGCCCATCACTTGCAATGTCCAGCACCTTCTCCTAGCCTTTTTGTTTCCCTCAGCAGCAGCACTGCTTTCAGCCATTGTGTTCATAGTAACTTTGTCATTGAGCATTTTGGAATAAGCTTTTTTGACAGAGAAAATTCCTTTGCCAAGGAAAGAGCATTGCCAAACATCAGCAGCTCTAGGGTTCAAAGTTTTGATCTGCAAAATCCTGTCAGCATCAGTTTCAGTGAACAGTGCTCTCACTAGTGTAGTATCCCAATTCACCCCACCTGCCAGTATTAGGTCTTTCACCCAAAATAAACTTCCATCCACCTCAGTTCTCAGTTCAGGTTTCTTGCCATTCAATCCTGGCACCCAGTTCATCTCATTCAACCTAGTACTTTGCCCATTCTTAATCACTAGCTGAGCCTGTTTCTGCAAGTCCGGTAAGAATGTGGCCCATGAGCTCCACAGCCAAGATGCACTTCCTGTATTTTTCCAATCAAAGATAGAGCAGTCATTAAAGTACTTACTCCTTAGAACTCTACACATCAGCATATCTGGTTTCTCAAGAAGTCTCCATAGTTGTTTCAGTATCAGTGCTTTGTTGAATAGTTGAATGTCCAGAAATCCAAGTCCTCCTTCCTCCTTTGGTGCAGTCAGTTTATCCCATGAAAGCCAGTGCATATTCTGCTTCTGAGATTGCCCCTTATTCCACCAGAATCTAGCCACTAATCTGCACACTTCTTTACAGCAGCTCACAGGTAGCACAAAACAGGACATGACAAAAACTGGTAATGCACACAACACAGACTTCACCAAAACTTCCCTCCCAGCAGTAGATAGAAAAGAGTTTGGCAAATCATGACTTTCACATTTTAAACCATTTTATAACTCAAATATTATTTTATTCCAAACAATTCAACGAATTATTCTTAAAATAAAACATAACTTATTGACTCTAAAAACATTTAAATATAATAAAACTTTTAAATCATTTAGATAAACTTGCAAACACCCTCTAGATGAATTATTCTTTTAATTGTTTTCAAGCAACCAAATTTCCCCAACTAATTTGTGAGATTCTCAGCCACAATAAAAAGAAAAAACATGTTACTGGAAGAAACTATTTCGGAACAAACTAACCAGTGATATCTATAATCCATCTAACACCTGCAGANCTACCTCAAATCGCGGTCGTAACCGTGCCGGCCTTCTTTCCAAGTTGGCCGCACCGTGGACGTCCTTCTTTCTCGGTTGGCCGCACCATGCACGACCGGTTTTTCCGGCCGGCCGGCGGGATTTTTTTATGTTTTTTTATAATCAAATTTTTATTTATTATATACATTATATTAGAATTTAGATATTATGTTATAAATTAGAATTTATTATCTTATAGTTAGAATTTAGAAATTGTTAAATTATAAATTATAATTAATTATCTTATAGAATTTTATTATTATTATTATTATTATGTTAGAACTTAAAAATTATTACGTTATATAACATAATACTAATTATCTCTAACAAAATACTAATGAGTGATATTATTAAAAATTATATTCTCCTTTTTTTCTTAAATTCGCTCATTTTCAACTCGGTAATAAATTTTAAAATACAAAATAATATTCTTACATAAATTTGAAATTCATAAATACCAATTTAAATAACAAATTGAACAGAAAAAGTCGGATTCATTTCGAGCAATTCATTGAGACCGATTAATTCAGTATGATTAGACCGAATTTTATGACAAGATTGTTTGACACTTTTCTCAGAGTTATATGATTCGTGAGAATATTATAGTAGGAAAAACATTCAAGCTCATGTTTAATTGAAGTATTAATGAAAACGCCTTGCCGTTGACTTTCATTCTCTAATGAACTTATATTTGATCGAATCAATTTTATCACGCTTGGGATCATGATATTAGTGCCATAGCAAAATTTAATTTCAATGCAGCAATTAAACCATTAATAAATTATAATTTATAAGATAATCAATTCAAATATATAGCATAATAATTTATACTAATATAATTTTTTTCAAACTAGTATCATTTCTAATTTACAATAATATAATTTATACTAATTATGCTAATATCATTTTTTTAACTGTATTTGTTGTTAGTTCATTTTATTCTCAACAAGTTCATGACAAACATAACTCGAAATTAACGTATAAACACGGCCGAATATCATAATATATCAATAATATAATGAATGTCACCAATAACAAACATAAGTCAAATATCATAATATATCATCCAGCTCCATTACGAATATCACGCCACAACTGGACCCTGCTCTGGTAGTGATCATCCCATCCTTGAATCGTCCCATCTCGGTATCTCTCCCAACAATAACAAATAGGCGGTAATGGAAACTTAGAAGACGGATTCAGACGAATGAAGTGTTTGTAAGAACCAAGATGACTTATGACAATCTCGCGTTCAGGTAGTGTAGCCGTGAATGGTGCGTGAAGCGGCGATACTATCGTACTAAAATGGTCGATATTGTTATTTCTGGGACCACACACAGCCTAACAATACGACAACTGCATTAAACAGTGTAACAATAGGAAAGAGGTCAGCCATAACTCCCATCCAGTGCTCCTTGTTACAAGCACCCTCGTCCCATCTTATCCGATTGAACATCTCAAAACAGCATTAACCAAATCTCCTACAACACTGCCTCTGTAACATTCCCTTCGATGACACCTCAACACCTTCTGTTTTTCTTCTTTTCCGTGTTTCGAGATGACCAATTTGAAACCCTATATAATTGCTATCTTTTGTCCATTTAACAGCTTCTTCACAACTATTAAAACGTCATATGTAATGAAAGCATGTCTGTAATCAACACCGTCTAGTCTAAAATCTTCGAGTGGCACGTGCAATATATTACGATGTATGTTAATAATTTTACAAAATAATCAATTATAATTTATAACATAATAATAGTAAACTTCTAACATAATATCAACAAATTATACTTCATAAGATAATCAATACTAATCTATAACAAACTAATTTCCAACTTCTAACATGATATCAATTAATTATACTTCATAAGATAATCAATACTAATCTATAACACAATAATTTCTATCATATTATTAATACATTCTATTTTATAAGATAATCAATTCTAATCTATAACACAATAATTTCTGACTTCTAACATTATATCAATAAATTTTATTTTATAAGATAATAAATTCTAATCTATAACGTCATAATTTATACTAATATAATTTTTTTCTATGATAATTAATTATATCTTATACTGTTATAATTTATAATAATTAAACTAATAATTTTATTTTTTTTTTTTTGCCGGAACGATAGATGTACTATAAAAAGCACAAAAGTGCAAAGAGAACAAATTACAAGACCCCAACGGGGTAATCTAAGACCCCAACAGGGTAATGAGACAGGGGCCAACGGCCCAAACCAAAAACACGCCTAATAAAAGAACAGGAAGAGAAAACTGAGAGGACACGCACATGGCGGCCTAGAGAACTCCACAACCGAAAATAAAGGAATATAAATAACAGAGCCACTGCACAATGCCTAGCCTGTATTCATATCCAAACAAAGACAAACAAACACACAGACCAACTAACGAACAAAAATCACAGAAAACAACAAACAAACACTAAGCACAATAAATAAGCCCTTCCTAAGCAGCGAAACCAAGCTGAGCCGATGGATACCGAGTCAATCCAGAGAGAGTCCCACAGCCAAAGAGAGCCGACCCGAAACTGCCCAAACACCAACTTGGTGGCCTAACGAAGTCAAAACCCAAGCCCCAGAACAACATCCGAAATCAAACTCGAGCCACAACCTCAACATCAAAAATGCTTCAGGACAACCACGTGATCGAACCCACTAACACCACTAGCGAGTCCAACCAAACCCGGTAAACCCCCGAACCACAAAGATGCCGAGGCCGCAACCACATCACCGACCACCCGAAACCACTGCACACCACCACCCACCACTGCCCCACCTCTGCCATCACTACTGGCCGGAGGTCAGAGCAATGGTCATCCCCGAACCCAACATCAAAGGAACGGGGAAGAAGGATGGAAGCACAGCGGAGCTTCGGCCGTCTGACACCATCGCCGTCGAACAACCGAGGGGAGAGAGCAACCAGATGACGAGGTAGCAGCCTCGACCCCTGAACCACCTGGAACCGCCAAGATCCTCCGCCTCCGTCCAACACCACTGGTCGGAAGATGAAGCAATGGTCCTCCCTGACCCAACGCTAGAGTACAAGGGGAAAAGGCCAAGAACCGCAGCGGAGCTCCGGTCATCCGACAACAACACTGCCGAACGACCGAGGAACCACCTACCCAAACGAAATACACCCCAGCCACTGCCTCCACAACCCAGGTAGCCGCCGGACTGAGCTCGAAACGTCGCCAGAGCCGAAGACCTTCTGAAGCCAGAAGCAAACCTGAGAGCGACGGCCATAGACGGCGCGATTTATCGGGGAAGGGCCAAGCAATCGAGGGTCGACCACCAGCTCATACTCAATCGCCGCTGAGGAAGGCGTACCGGCACTGATTTGAAGGAGACCGCTGAAAATTGAGATGAGGGAAAAGGGGATACAACGCAGAGCTTAGGGTTTTTAGTTTTTACTCTCTTTTCTCTTTTATTAATTAAACTAATAATAATATAATTTTTTTATATACTAATATAATTTATACTAATATACTGTTTTTCATTATAATTAATTATATTTTATACTATCATAATTTATAATAATTATATTAATATAATATATATTATATAATATATTAACTTTATTGATATATATTTATATAAAATATATATTAATATTATTAAATTATACATATTCATATATATGAATGTATAATAATATATATGAAAGTATTAATATATATAATTTAATATATATTAATTTAAATTATTAATATATTTTAATTATTAATAAAATTAATTATTAATTTTTTTTCATTTATTATAAAATATATAATAATATATATGAAATTATTTAAATATATTTTTTATATTTCAACATTTTTTAATTAACAAAAATTAAAAACCACGAAAATTTTAAAAAAAATACAAATTAATTTATATGTACAAATAGTTAGAAATGCAAATAGAATTTATTATTACTTTGTTAGAGGTTAGAAATTATTGTATTATAGATTAGAATTGATTATGTTATAAATTAGAATTTATTACTATTATGTTAGAAGTTAGAAATTATTATGGTATATATTAGAATATATTACAATTTTCATGTTCATTTAGTTAAATTTAATCATTTATCAGTTTAAGATAATAATAAGTTTAATTAATGATAATGTGATATTCATCTCCACATACATAGTGAACATTACTAGGAGAAAAGTACAAAAGATAGTCCGAAGGCTGAATAGCCTAATGTTACAACCCAAAGAATAGAGACCTTCCAAATGAAGGTCTAAACTCCCTAATCAACACACAAACAGGATCAAGAGAACAGACACATGCCTATCACAGTTAATGGCAGCAAAACTGAAGACCATAACCGCAACAAACACAAAGATAGCACAATCCTAATGACAACACAACCATAAACCGACCGGCAAGTACACAGATATACAACATCATCAACACAGACTAAACTAAGAAACAAAGAAATAAGGAGGACACCACTGAACCAAATGAAGGACCTAGTGATCTTCTTAGCATCAATGCTACTCAGCTCTCAGTCTGCAATCTTTGAACTCCAGCCAGTCAAGTTGTGCAGCCCTAAGAATGGCATTATCCGGCATCCAAGTGGCTTCAAACTTCCAGAGATTCCGAGCCTTCCAAAGCCACCATAATATGTAAGTTGTCAACTCGACTCTAGCTTCATAAACCTCTCTCTTGTCTACAGAGCAAGCAGTCCACCACCACTTCTTAAAAGAACCTGCATGCATGTCCCCAAACCAGTTGACTAGAGCCATCTGCCAAATTCTCTTTGCTCTATCACAATGTAAAAGCACATGCTCCACTGATTCCCAGTCCTCACCACAGCAACAACATTTAGGATCCACATCAAGGCCTCTTTTCTTCAAGTTCAGACAGGTTGGAAGAGTATTTGTGTAACACTTCCAGATGAAGTGTTTGAGTTTTTGCTTAATCTTCAACTTCCAGCTTCTGTTTCTGGTGTGCTTTTCCACTTGGGCTGAGTTACTGCTTTCAGCCAAATCAAGTTCTCTAAGCTTGTTGAGGACTAAATGTGAGTAAGAACTAGCCACTGAAAACTTGCCTTTGGAATCCAAAGTCCATATCCATTTATCAGCTAGCAAAGGGTCCAGGGATCTGATGTTCAAAATAGCTTCCACATCAGGTGGATGAAAGCACTCATTTAGCAAGTTTATGTCCCAGTGTTTTCCATCATCAAGAATCAGCTCCTTAACCCAAGTGACCCTAGAAATCCCATGCTCATTTCTGATAGAAAAACCACCTACATTACTTGCCAACCATGGATCCTGCCATATATTTGTATGCCTCCCTTGTCTAACCTCTACCCTAAAGCAGCCTTTGAACTTATCTCTAACCTTCATCCAGTTGCTCCACAGCCAAGAGGTGTTGTAAGACTTTTTTGCTTGCAATACAGAGCAGTCATGGAAATACTTGCCTTTCAAGACTCTAGTCATGAGTAAGTTGGGATGAGATGCCACCCTCCAAAGCTGCTTGAGTATCAGAGATTCATTGAAGAGCTCCACATCTCTAAAACCAAGACCACCAACATCTTTAGGCATTGTGACACAAACCCACCTTTTCCAACAGTGGTCTTGTTGGAAAGCATTTTTTCGCCGGAATTATCTGGAGGTGTTTGCGGAATTTTTCGGGGCTCGGTCTGGCCGGTAAATAGATTTGAAGAGGGGACATTCTTTTTTTTTAAAAAAAAAAAAGAATAAAGGGCAAAATGGTCTTTTAGGAGTGCGCTACGTAGTAAAAAGGGTGCGGTATTTAGCGATTCAGTAAAAAGATTCAGAGTTTTTCCGAAATACTCGGCAGATCTATAACAAAATTTCTAAAATTTTGAATGATATATTCGGGGGTATCTAAACCTCTATATTGCTAATATATCCTGCCTCTTCTTCCAATTTGACCAATATATCAGAACCTCTACATTGCTAAGGGAGCGATTGGATATAGTTTCTACAGTAAAAAAATCAATTATAACTCAAATTTAACTCAACTTTAACTCAACTCCACTATATTCAATATTATCAATATAATTAAATAATATCAACCAATCATTCTTACACATCACATCAATTTTAATTCATTATTCATCCACTCACATAATTTTAACTAACCATCACTTTCAATCATCTTTCTCCTACTTTATATCAAATCAACTTTAATTATTTTATTTAAATATTATTTTAATATATCCACTAACAACTAACTATACCAGATCTTTTAAAATTAATTATAATTAAAAAAACAAACCAAATAAAAACTAGTTAAATCCATAAACAATCACCACATAATATGTCCAAGTCTCATCACTGGCTTCGTTTACTTACCTGGATAGGATGGGATATCGGCCTTACCCAACCTCATCCTACGTTTACTTTACATGATTGGGACTAGGATTTAGCCCATGTGGCCTGTATGTGACAGGTGGGTCCCACGCGAAGATGCATATGTGGCTGGATAATTCAATCTCGTCAAATAGGTGGGATATTTTTATCCCACTAATGAAATGACCATTTTGTTCAAAAAAATAATATTATTTAATTTAAAAAATATTAATTTAGATAATTTATTTTAATTTAAAAAATATTATTTAATCAATGTTATTTGATTTAAAAAATATTAATTTAAAATAAAATAAAATTATTTACATTAATATTTAATTTTATATTAGTATTATTTAATTTAAAATAATTATTTCATAAAAAATATTTATTTAAATAACTTTATTCTTTGAAATTATATTAATAGATTATTTAATTTTTATTATAAAAAAATAAAATAATATATTTATTTTGTATATACAATATAGATGTCAAATCGAATCTCATCATGAGATTATTAATTTGATATATAATATATAGAAATTGTATAATAAATTTAAAAAATTTTATTCTTTAAAATATACTTATAATTTATTTTTTGGGTCTAAAATAGGGGGAAATGTGATGTTTTGTATGTAGGAGATGAGGGTATGTTTGTCTTGTGTTATTTCTCATATCATTTTGTCCAGGTTAGTAAATGCTTGATTGTTTTTGCCTTGAAATGCATCATGTTTTGTAAACATTGGATAAATGCTGACATGTCTCTACTAAAAATGCAAGCTCAAAATAAGAGTATTCACAAGGTGGATACAAACTAATGGAGACGAGCTCGCAATAGTTTTTCTGAACAAATAGGATCGGCTCCGAGTCTAGTTTATTTATTTCTTATTATATTTTCCTTTTAGTGCATTTTATTTCTTTAGATATTTAATTAGTAGATAAATAATTATCTTGGTCGTCAAGATATGTTAGGACTCTTGTTACTTTTATCCAGCTTGGGGGAAACAGAACGAGACAGTTTTGATGAATAATATTTCTGCATTGTGAACTTTTATGAAAGAGTATCTTATATTCTTCCCAATTGTACTACGCTCTACATCAGTTGGTATCCAGAGACCAGCGACGATCCACGATGCCGCCAAAGAGAGATAATGCCGTCGACGATCGTTTCCAGCGAATAGAAGAGCGATTCCAGAGGATGGACGATCGATTTACGGACCTTTCAACGGGGATTGAGGAATTGCGCCAGGCAATGAGTACCATGATGGAGGAGATTCGTACGAGACGCGACAGCGGCGACCGGGCCGTGCGCGGTGGGTTTCGTGGAGGTCGTGGGGGACACTGCTAGGGCGAGGCGCCCCGCCAGCATTCACCGGGGACTCCGTCTGGCGACGAGGACGATGAAGACACCGTCAGCGAGGTCAACCCGTTCGCTGGAGTACAGCGATGGCGCCCGGCGGGTGATAATGTCTTCGGGCAGGGGAACGGCGGCGGTGGTCGTGGTCCACGTGGCTTTGGCGGCGGTGGGTTCAGACACCGTGAGGGATGGTTTGCGAGGGCCCAGGCTGACGC